AATTATTATAACCATCTGTGACTTCACGATACTATGTGAAAGCTTCTAAAATCATTACATCTATTTACAAAATATACTAAAATATACATCACTCTTTTAAAATACTTAAATATAATTGATTATGATACATTATTTGACTTGTACTCTCTCGCCTGCTCATTAAAGGAATATGACTTAAGCATTGAAAATTTTCCTATTTGTTCAATTTAGCTGATGTTACAAAATTTTCTAAACCAGTGACTGTCGATATTGATAATTGCACATGTTTGCTTATGACATTGCGTAATCCCGGTAAGAATGAAACCTTTGATACACTATCAATGCGGCATTCACGTTGCCACGCCTAAACACGATTTTATTCGAATGCAAGCAGGCGGAAAAAAAAGAAAAATTCTTAACCTTTCTACCGTCCATTAACTTCACGTTTCACGAAACATGATTTGCTACATTCTAACAACATTATGAAATTTTATATAATAACATGAAATTTTATATAATATCAGCTATATCTTGAACATCAGTATAGTTAATACTGCACACAGTGTCCTATAAAAGTTAAAAATCTTTTGATATTTAAGACGAACGTTACTGAATATCTTTCTTGCATTGTATAAAACAAAGTTAAAGAACCAGTAACCATCAGACTACAATATAATTTAATGAAGTAATGTGTTAAAATAGAAAGCTAAAATATTCAATAAATGAAGGTTTGCATTTTATTAGTTGTAATTGTTAATAAACATATAATAATAATAATAATAATAATAATAATAATAATAATAATAATAATAATTGAATGAGTTTCCCTTCAGTTGTTATACCTTAAAATAACTTAAGAAACTGAACTGTTTAACTTAATATAATAATTTGTTTATTATTATTCATAATTATAGAATCAAACATACATATAAATATATTAGTAGAAATATATGTATATGTCGTTTGTAAATGTTTTCTTTCAATTATTATATATTTAGAAAAACTTAAAAATCAAGAATAATATTCAACAACATAATAATTTACTTCTATCATTGGATCCATGTGAACATAGAATTATTCACTTGGTCGTAGGTTTAATTTGTTTTCAAGATATAAAGACTCTCAGATATAAAATTCTCAGTTGCGTGAAATCTTGGTTCTGGTTTCCAAATCCCCAGCGGACGTTGATCGATCACTTCCTGCCTGTACGAAGTTTTATTGTGATGCACGCTTCTGTTATCAATCCGACGAGGAGAAAGAAGCGGAAGATTTTGAGTCATATCGGAGTATTGCGTAAATTCTTGATAAGAGATACAAAAACTCGGGATGCAGTTGTCGTCGTTGCGCTTTCATCATTCGACATCTTCTTATTGATCAACTGAACAAACGTTACATCATTTTGTAATTCTCTTAATTCTATCAATCAGCTACTTGTTATTTGTCGTTATTTATCGTTTACATAGATTTGCATTTTTGTCATTTAATGACAAAAATAATCACGAGAATGCTGATGTTCGCGCGTTTGTGTGAGTCTTCGTGAAAGTATAAAAATGTACAGAATGCACATAACGTTTGAAAAATATGTAAAAATGAAATGAGGAGAAAATATGGTGACATATAGTTTTACATGTATATGTACATTCATGTATATGTATTTTAAAACTTTTAATACTTAATTGTTAACATTTTCTAAGAAACTTTCAATATTTTGTAAGAAACCAATAGTATTAATACAGTTATTAGTAAATTATGGATATCTAGAATGTTTATGAATATAATGCATAATGAATTTAGGTATAATTTTTTTATTTTTAACTATAATTTAACATATATTACATAATAATAATATATCATAATACAATAATATAATAATAATAATCTTTATATATTATTATATTTTTGCATATTATGTCCCTTTTGTACACTTTTTGTAGCTTTAAATTTTCTACGCATAAATTCACTCCACTTCAGTCTACTTACGTTATATTAATTTCACTTGATTGCCATTAATCTACACAATCAGTGTCGTTAACAGACCACAGATTTTTATGGATTTTTGTATTCTTATAGACATAACTAAAGAAGTGGAGCTTTAATAACTAACTATATCTATTAAATCTCATTAATAATAATTCTACTGTCATTTTTATTACATGCATATGCTAAGTAATTTTTATTTCAACTACGTTTAAAACTCAACTAAAAATTTAATCTAAAAATTAATTAGAATGGAAAGTTTGGAGTAAAATAAAGAACGATTAACAGTATGTTAAATTTAAAAATTACTCTTTTATAAAAGTTGAGAAATGCGATATATCATGTTTTGTGTCTATAATCGTTCATATAAAATATTCAAAGTGCAATACTTGTTATAAAATCTGATGGTGAAATTATGTTTGAAAAATAACTCTTTGATTATATTCGTAAAAGTCTGCAAAATTGCATAAAGATTCACAGTCTACTAATCATAAGAACAATGTGCATATAAAAGATGCTTGAAAAAACATGAATCTAAGACTATAAGAATTTATGATTCGTATCGAAGAAAGTATAATTAATACTTTTAATCTAATGTGATAAAAATCTATATTATCTTGTCTTGAATTATTATCTTTTATTCCAAATAATATATCCCCAAACTTGCTATATAATAGTATTAAAATTATCTTGATATTATTCATAAAATATCCGACATATATATATATATAATACATAAGATTATTTATTTAAGATTATTGATGTACATTAATATCCATAATATTAATAATATGAAGATATATACACATAATCTAAATATACATTACACAAAATTATAAATACATTGAAATATATGTGCATACATTAATATATATAAACATACGTTAATATACATATATGAAAATTATAATCATTTATCATGTATTCAAAAGATATCCGTATGATAAAATATACAGTCGAGTTTGCATACACATACATATGTCCCAAAGCATAATTAGTTACTTGAACGAGTCACGCTTTGCAGACGTGATAATTTTATCAATTGTAATACTGTTGCCGTGTTACTAAAACATCTATCTATTCATTTGCTCAAGTCGTAAATTCTTAACGCTATCCCTAAAACCGATTCATTTGCCGATGAGAAATCGTATTAATTTCACAGTCTGTTTCCAGACATTTACACAGTAATGAACTATTTGATTTAATTAAAAATCTCGCGAAGTTACGTGGCATGAACAGGTTGATTCAGCAGAACGAGTTCTTTTTCCTTGTTAATTTTTCTGCGTTCGGACTCCACAATGATTCTATTTCGTTTTCTTTGTACTAATATGGAAACTAATTTGACGCCTTTTTAAAATAAATCTAATAACGTTACAAACATATTCTCGTTCCTATTTTACAGCTGGTCAAATTCTGTGTCCTTAAATTTTTTAATTACCCTTAAGAAGATGTTAGAAAAGTCAAAATACACCACTACTACTTCAAAGCTGTGGAGGAAAAATTGATAAGAATTGATATTTTTTAATTTCTAAATTCAATACGTTCAATATTAATATACTTAATATTAAAGATTAATATGAAACATACATTTTTCTATCCCTTTCACAATGTAAGGGTGATATTTGTAAAAAAATACTTATAATATATGATTATTTATAATAATGTTAAAATACTGATAGACTAGATCCAACAGATTCTTCCTTTCTTTATTTCACATTAAATTTTAAAAACTTATATTTATATTTATTATATCAACGATATAAGGTTTTACGAATTGTATCTTGTAAAGTATTTTTGACGCTGCTTAAACAATCTGTAAACGATCAAAATAAACAAGATAATTATTATTTTTATTCTGCTACCGATTCTACCTTTTGTGTACAGAGTATATTTATCTTCAATAATCTTTATCAATAACACGAGAAATGGATTGAATATACAGAAACAGAAAATTTTATCGCGTTGGCCCATCAATAATTGTACTTAATCGATATTTGGAAATAAATAACTTCAATATAACTTGGATTATTATAATGCAAATGCACATGAATACAAATTACATTATTATAAACATAGAAAGTAAGCGGTTAGAAAGTTGCTGTAAAATTGCGAGAATTTATTTGTAAAGACAGGATTCGAGACATAGCGACATATTTTACAAGCGGGTTCAACGTTCGCTGTAAATATATACATATGTACTTACTCCGAATGCAGTATCATACATTACCGATTCCTAAGGAAGATAGCAGAACAGTGATATTAACTGTGGTTCGGTTAAGTGACTTACAATTAAATACAATACATTACATTAGCCTGACACACATGCGTAAAAGTATTTACATAAAAAATTGAAATAATGGTGATAAACCCATACATACCCAATGCGTGTACTGAGTTAAATTATTGTAAAAATATATTTTTATATTGAAACATTTATTATTGGAGCAACTATTACATTACACGCTCAGTTAAGCATGAAATAAGAAAAAAAAAAAAAAAAGAAAAAAACAAGTGGTACATAATTTACTTTTTATTGTCTCTTATTAACTTGTGTAACTATATTCTGTTTCAATTGTGTGTCTTATCGCGCGCTTGATATTTCGACGATGAAATCGATGAATCGAACTTTAACACGTTCTCCGTGACTCGCCGATAATCGCCAGGTAGCGTGACTATACGTTCCGCACGAACCACAGCGACCACGAGGGTGTTCTTTTCCTCCAAGTTGGCAAACTTTGAAACTTCAATGAAAAGCAGAGAACCACTGTAGGCAGACAGTTGCTAGGTGTGTTACTATTCTCGGTCGGCGGCATTCCGATAAGCGGTGTGCCAAATCTCGGCCTAACACTGGATGAACGACAACGTTTTAGATCTGAGGGCGAAACTTCAGGTTCCTCCATTTTCGCCTTCTTTTTCGCGATATACATACATACGTACGTCGTCTGCTTTACGCTGAGCCGCCATTACACGACCGTGGTAGTCAATCGTCATAAACATTACTGTTACTATCAATAGCACGCGTTCGCGTAAGTCATTTACTTAATAGTATTTTTGTTGTTTTATTTCACTATGCCTAAATCGCGGAATATATAAAGGAAAAAAACAAAAGAATTAAAACTTCATGATATAGATATGTATTTGACTTGGATAGTAACAAAATGTCCGACTGTTATTACTTCATATTGTTGAGAACAAATTTTTGATAAGGTAATTATATTGTATTATTACGTGTAGGAATCATTAATTTTATCTACGATCTCTACGATTTACTTTCGTTATCAATGACTATGACATCGTTTTAAAATATGTTTCAACTCGTTTTCTATATTTTGAGACATTTCATCGGTCTTAGGTAAAATCTTCATACATATATGATGATAACATCAATATGCAAGAAAAAAAATTTTTTTTACGCAATTGAATTATATTATATTCATTACATAAATTGGATTAATGAAATTCATGTTGTATAATATAATGTTTCAATATAGAATGTATAAAGTTTCAAACATTAAATTTGATTATTCTAATTACTCTTAATATAATTATCATATAACTTGAAATTAAATTACTTAACTTTAAAATTAATTTAATTTCACTACTAGTCTCTATCACAAGAAGTATGAAATACAAAATTAAATTAAATTTTAGATATCACAGAACAATTAGTACACTCATCTATAACCCAACGATATCATTTGAAGGTTAAAATAATTAAATAATTGAAAAAAAAGATTAGAATAATTAAACAGAATTTTATAATATTCTTTATTAGCTTCATTCGCAATAACGCGCCAGTTGTTGAAAAAAAAGTAAAATCAAAATAAAGAAAACGGGAAAGAAATGTCTGAAAGTTATCGAAAGTTTTAACTTCCTTTTTGTTTAAGCAGCCGGTCGACAATGTAGAAACACGTTTCACATTGTTGCGTTCTGTCCACCTGGTACACAGACATTACATTCAGGAGCCGAAGGTTCGATGACCTTAACAACCGACGAGTTCTCACTTGCAGAAAGCTACTTTTGTCGTTCTCTTTTCACCCGCCTACCATAGATGTGTGTCGCTTCGTTGCGGCTTACGTAAAACATTCGTTTGATATTTTTAGCTTTACAGAAGAAACCGACGTCTTGTTCCGTATTTCCGAAATACAAATAAGAAAGAAACGTAACATTTCCATGATAAATGCAATTTACTTGCTCTAAAATAGTTACGAGCAAATCAAACGAATGATTGACTGAGAAAATGTATTAATTCTATCGTATTATTACGAATCGAATAATTAATTCAATTAGTGAAATAATTAATAAATATGTATCTAACTAACACAGAAATTAATACTCTTCTAGTACTTGTTACAAGATGTTGTTACAATGTTATATAATTGAGCTTAGACTCGAGTATCAATAACTGATCCATAAAAAACATAATATTTTTGTATCTTACATCCCACGCAAATAATCAACTATTGAGAATTCTTGATATAAGTGTTTTCTAAAAGGTGTAGTTAAATTATCATGATTTTCTCCAAATAAAATGCCAATGCGCATAGTAAGAAGCACGAAGAAAATGTTTACTTTTGGGCTGTAAATAAGGTTGAACGAAAGATTTCCAAGGAGAGACAACCAGAATTTACATATCTCTCGCGACAGATTATAAATTGATATTTAACTTTTACGTAACGAAATGCAAGTGAGAGTATGTAGAACGCTATTCCTAATCGGCATGTAAAACCTGTATCCTCTTAGGCCTTGTAGTGAAACACGCGAAAGAGGTTGATTGTAGGTATCGATCTTAAAACGAAGAATCTATGTTTATGACCACACAGAGACATGCGCTCTAGTCTCGACCTAAATAATCATGCACGTAATGTTCAGGAACGTAAACAAATACATGTAGCTATATATATATATAAGACGACAGCATTGATGTATTACCGAACTCGTAACCATTATGAAAATGTGTTTCTTTTGTAGATAACGCCATGTAACACGCCAGCCACGCCACCAAATTTTCCTGATGCGCTATTGGCGTTCTCCAAAATGTCGGCGGGTGATAAAACTCCCTCCGGTGAGTTTTCACTTTAATTATTTACTTATTTAATTTATTTATTCTATTTCACTTTCCTAAAGATTTACTTATATTTTATAAATGGTCTCAAAAGGATTTACTTGTGTTTTATAGATGGTAGAGGAAATGGTTCATTCAAGTTCTGCGAAATAAATGAAATCAAATAAGTCGAATTTCTATGAGCTTCTTATTATATAACAACTTGAATCAGTTCTAGATGTAGTAGATTGAATTGAATTGAAACACATATGCATTGTGTTTAATATTATAGAAGAATGTTTAAGTGTCTATAAATAGCTCGTACAAGCTATTTGTGCACAAATCGCAACTGTCTATAAATAAATGGATTGAAAACATCCAATGAAGTATTGTACATACGAATTTAGTACATAATGTTAAAAATAATATTAAGATGTTAAATTAGAAAAAATTTCATTGTAATTCTAATTTTAACTGCAATTTATATTGCAAATCTGCAATGAATTTTCTAATTCTATTAGACTGTTATTATTTATCTACATTTTATTATCTTATTCACAGTAATTCACAGAAATATTCAAACTTGTAATATTCAAACTGACAAGTGAGTAAAATGAGTTCAGATAATATATAAATTGCATTTGTTTGTTTCACTCACTCAAATTGTATCTTGTTCTTTTCTTCTTGCAATTTACAATTTATAATATTTACATATTTTCAAGCCAGTGCTACATAAAAATTATTCGGTGTGACATTCATAGTCACACTATCGAACTGCAAAAGGCAATAATAATTAATCAACAACGAGCAACTTATCGAAATCCAATAAGCTATTGTTTGTTTTAAAGTAGATTGATTTACGAAGCATTCGTTGACTGAACTTTTTTTACTTCACTTATACCAATTCCACGAATATTTTTAAATATCTCATCCCATTAAAGGCCAAGTAATGAAAATGCATGAAACTTACGTAAATGTGTAATATCATCGAAAGATATAAATAAAAATAAAATGTTTGACACCACAAGGAAGAAATGCAATCAGTTACAAAAATTTATATATATTTGCAAATTTGAAAAATTTCATCAGTGAATTTTTACGCAAATTCATAGCTTTGAAAAGATCATTAACGAAATAAAACTTCAGTCAATTGTTGTACATACCAAATACATATTATGAGAAGCATTATATTTTTGATATTTTATATACAGGGTGTAAGTCGGTGGTAAAAGGAGGAAAAAATTTTATTTTTTCTTTTGGACTCGTTTTTTTACCTAGAATCACCTCTCACTCTGTTCTACCACCGAGTTAAGGGACAGCCTGTGTATTTTCTCATACGTGCGTATTATGTACAATTTTGTATCTTCAACTTTATCAGTTTTATTATTAATATAGAATAGCTGTGATACCGACATTGTGAGACTGTTATCGTTATAAATGACAAAGATGTAATGCAAATAGATATGTAAAGCCTTTCGTGTTTCACGAAAGTTTCGCTTCGTCGTCTATTGATGATAGTAGTTAAAGGGTTTAACACGAAAGACGTGTCACAAACACTGAAGAAAAATTAGCGAGTTCTTAGAATAGCAATTTCCTAGACATTCCGTACGGTTCACTCGAAAGAGCCACGATGACAACTTACGTTACAGAGAAGAAAATATAATGGAACGTAATAAAACACATTAGATCCTTGGTTTTAGAATCGTATTCGTAGCATTAAATATACATGTTACGTACGTAAAAATTACATGTTTTGTACATTGTTTAAAAATAATCTACTGCGAATCTAGTAATGTAAAAATTACTAAATGCTTAATAGGAAAAATAGATAAACTAGAAATCAAATAGAAAAACTGTGATACAAAGTAAAAGAACTAACGTAATAGAAATAAAATAAATTAATTAACTTTCTTTTGCTAGTTCACGATACTATAGTAAATAATTGAACTAAATTAGTAAAAAGATTTCACAAATAGTGTCAAGATGATAACTAATGATCTAATGATGTACATGTTTGGTCCCTTTTAAAAAAATCACCAAACTCCTTCGTTTTCTCTTCTTATTTTAATACTGTAAATTAATATATTGTCACGTACATGCCTTGCTTTTAAACCGCGACAGACTAATATATATATATATATATATATACCACGCTGTAATATTTAACTTTTATCTGGCAATGTTATCCGAGTCATTTGCATTTAAAAAAAAAAGAAAAAGTTCAGTCCGTGAAATTTCACGGTTAAAAAAAAAAATTGAATTTCATTCCGAAGGTCATACAACCACAACAGTCGCGCGTTAAGTTTGCCATAACAAAGGCAACAAGACGTTGAAGCGCAAAGAATAATTCGGTTATCCCATTGCAGGAATGTCGCCGAGCCAAAATGGATTGCATCAGAACTCAATGCAGATGGGGATGGCAGCGCAACACCACGGAGGACGATGTAGCGTGACCGGGAACGCGCAGCAGCAAACGCAAAGTCAACAGTTGGGCCTAGGCGAGCCACAGAGATAAAAGAAACTTGCGATTCGGCGGCCCGTGCGCAAGATTCCGAGGTCGCACGATGTGCACGTAAACGGTGTTTAAAACAGGAGGCAATGGTTTATAAAAGATCGACTAGCTCCCAAGGGTTGCACACTGCGTGTGACCGCGGGAGCGATTATTAGCCGAGATTCACGCGCTCGTATCTTCTCATCCCTAGAAGAAGGACGCATGATTTTCCTACAAAGAAAACGAAAAAAAGAAACAAACACACACACACACACACACGCGCGTATACACACATACACAAACTGGACGCAAAGAAAATGTCCAGATTAATTGTTTAGGACGTGCACGTCTCTAGAAGAAAACAAGGATCTCTCTAATCTCTCCAATAGAAAGGAATCTTCATCTTTCTCGTTGAATTGCACGATTGTACGTGGATCTCTAGAGTAGCTGAAATACGACCCTCTCGATTGTTTATTCTTGTTATTTCTTTGATATATACGTATACAGTGTACATCGAAACACGACACGTCGATCACGATACGACATTGAGCCTCTTCAAAACCTCTCTCTCTCTCTTTCTCTCTCTTTCGACAAAAAGAATGAAAACGTAAACGCCACTCTTCTCTTCTTCCGTCGACTTATTCTGAAAGAGGAAACAAGTGAGAAAGAGAACCATGGAAAAGAAGGAAAGGAAGAAAGGAAATGAACACGAGAACGGAAGTTGCAAAGACTACATTTTATTCTTTTTCTTTCTTTTTCCTTTATTAAACGTGCTGTTGGGACGGTAGTTCCTATGGTTAATATGAAAGACAGCGATACTCTCCTTAGCGTTTATGAAATTAGTATGCGTCCAGAATTGCCGCTTGATGTAAATGAGTAGCGAGAAGCCTCCTCCACCCGTGCCCCTCCCCCCGAGTATCTTCCTTGTTGTTTCTCGATCTACAGACTCGCGGCTAGATAAGAAACGTTTGCGGTTCGTGAACCGCGGGAAGTCAATGAGAAATCGAATATCACTTCCACCACACCATAGTACAAAAAATTGCCGGCACTGGATAGCGCTTAGCAATGAATGATAGTTTACTTTTATTTTATTTTATTTTATGTTTTTGCTTCTTTTTTTTTTTGCAGTCGAACAAGAGACATTGCAAATATATGTTGAATTTGATTCTAATTGACTATGAATCTAGAGGAAAAAAAAGAAATTTTTCGTACTCGTGTTTCTTGTCTTCTGTTGTTGTTGTTTTTAGTGACGATCGAATTTGTATAGATTTTATGTAAAATCTTTGTGATAATAGTCCAAACGAAAGGCAAAAGAAAAGAACATGTTCATGCTCGATGCGACGAGGGCAATTAGATAGAACCACGAGGCTAATGTTATAATGAATACTAAATTACGGCGAATTATTATGTAAAAAATTGTAAAAAGGAATTTACTGATTATGTAATGTCCACTAAATATTTATGTAAAGTTACTGGAAGAACTATATATACATTTCTTAAAACTCGTTCACGTGTGAGAAAAAGATCACTTGCTCAGTTAGTATATCCAGTGTAGGTCATTTTTTTTTCTACGAGGAAAGAGCAGTGGAGCCATATTAGCTGAGCTGTTTCATCGTCAATTGAATTTATAAAATAGGACGAATAGAGATTTCGTACTTTACATGTAAATGATTTAATCATAGATTTCGTATTATCCACAGAAATTTCTTGTACGACAGTTTGCTGTAATTTACCTAACCAGTATATAATAAAATACTGTTTTTTCATTTCAATCATTTTTATCCACCTGTAATCGATGACGTGCATCGAAAGTTTAGTTCTCATTTTCCAGTTTCAACAATCGTTTTCACAATAGTTTATTTAATCTCACGATGCATCTATTATTTTATTTAACATCACGATCATCGAGTCACAAATTTCAAACAAACGAAGGATTGTTATTATCATTTTTATTATCCCTTTCTAAACAAGCATATAAAAATGAATATTGAAATGAATCGGGTAGTTGCAGATTTCTTACTTACAGTAATTAATTAAAGTATAGGTCTCGAAAGATACATTGGGACATTATGATCAGTATAATCTAATTTTCAAAGATGGAATAGTTCAAGTATTCGAGTTTCGCTGCAGCTTCATGACTGTGCGTTCATTTGTGTAAATATGGTAGAAATAATGCTACGCAAAAATTAAGTACGAGATGTTTTTTTGTAAGGTAAATGCTTTAATGTCTTTTTTTTGTGTTTGTAACGTATAGATCAGTGTACATTATACTTTGCTTTTGTGACCTGATCATAAGATACATATGTATATTGACTAGATACATATGATATATTGACTAGATATTTTTTTTTTTTTAAGAAAAATGTTGTCCATTCTAAATATTTAAAAATTTTGAAACACTGATCTATAAACTATTATGAAAATACTATTATGTTATAAATATACTAAAAGCTATTATATTATTATTATTATTATTATTATTATTGTTTATTTGACTATCAATAATAATAAATAATGTTCATGTACATAATTTTGAGAAACGATTTAAATAAAACATTAATAATGGTGCTTTCATAGACTTTTATGTAATTTCATGTAATTCTCATTCACGCCCTTTGTGCTTTGAATATCGCTTACGAATTTTAGTATTAACGTATTATGTACATGTAATACAATGACCAATGTACCAATATAAATGCAAATGCGAAACGGCATAGCTCAAATGTTAGATCGCTACATAAATTACGAAATTATACAAGACTTTCTATTATAATAATGGTAACTTATTTTTATCACTTTTCCATTATAAAATCTCGCAATGTCGACTAGTAATAATTCTGTATATTATCAATATACAATTACATATCTCTATACGCAACGCTGCTTATTACATTTATGTCAGCTGATAATAGAAAATATATATACAGTACGTTTAGTATACAGTATTTGTGAAAAATCGAAAATCTCATTATTTGAAAGTCACATATTTATCATGTTTCTACACCTCTACCTAGACCGTACCACCTGTCCGGTACAGGTAAGAAGTATCGGTGCATAGCGGCTATGAAACGAGCTCGATATTCTTCTGGTGATATTATCGTTGGCAGTTTTCCCTGGCCACCTAATATACCCGATTTCTTCACCATTGTTTCTAACTTCTTATCCCAAGTAAATGTTCGTATATAATCTGTAATTAGAACAGCATTCTGAAAACATCCTGTAACTAAGAATATTGAAATTCTCTAAACTTACCTATTATACCTAAGACAAGTTCATCGGAGTTTGGCTCTAAACCTACTAGTAGTGAGTAATCCATCACAGAGTTATCAGCCAAGAATTTCGTATCTTGTTCAATGGCTCTATTTAAAACCGCTTTGGAATGTGATCTGATATAGAGCGGCGAATCGCAACTCACTGGAAATGTGTCCTTACATATATTTAACTGAGAAGTTTATATACACGAAAGTAATATTACACACACGACATTACTTACTGTTTAATAAATTTTCGTCAAGCAATACGAGTTCTCCTTCCTGGCACATATCGTCAGGATTTACGAGCCGATTTCTTACCGATCCCTTCAAATCGAATTTGTCCGTTATCGTTCGTTTGTAAAATAAATTTTCCATCACTAGCACGCTGGTCCGAAGTGCCGCGTTTGTTGTATTGTTTTTAAAAGATACTCTGTAAACGCCGACTATCTTTCCTAGCAACGTCGGTTGCTTAGTTTGTTGGCACTTTTCCATGTAGGAAAAGTAATTTGGTGCAAAGTCGAGAAATATTTGCATTTCTAATCGAGACATCTCTTTTATAATGAACCTGTCATCTGTAACAGATAATGTGTCGAGTCATTTTATTTTATTTTATTATTATGTAACATAAATTCACTGTAATATTGTACCTCGACTTTTGCAGAAAGTGCTTCCGCTTTTTCCACCTCTCGCGGCCCATTGTACGCTACGACTTAAACTTCTCGTGAAACCGTCTTCCCCGCACGGTAAAACGTTTTCTCTGAAAGCGGCAAACTGTGCAGCAAAATATATCCTGCAATAGAAATTCGTCGTTGCGTCGTTGAATTGTACTTCGATGTAATTTTGTTGTTTTTTCGTTTTAGTGTCCTCGTCCGTGTCTGCAGTCACCGATGAACTCTGCGTGTTAGAATCCACATTTGAAATAGTCTTGTCCGAGTCTAAAGGACTTGCAGAATTCGGGCTGTTCCCCCGGAAGAATGACAAAACAGACGGCCGCTTGAATTCGCCAGATTGTGTTAAGTCAGGAACGTTCTCTTTATTTTCGGGGAATTTACGTTTGTTCAATGGGCTGGGATTCAGATCGGGCCCTTTCGTCGAACGCATTAATTCGTGAAGTGTATGTTTATAGTCGTGTGAATCCAGTGCGTATGCGATTATAGATGAAGGCTCTGATTCATACACCACTATAGGTACAACTGATCTGTGACAAACAAACGTGAAACATTTTTTTAACGTGCTAAAAATATAATATATAATATAAAGGAAATATAAAATATAATATAGAGAAATGTTTCAATATAGTCAACAAACCCAAGGGGAAGTAAGTGATGTTCCAGAGTCCCTAAAGGATTTGGTATTGGTTGAATAACAGGAACGGATGGTAACAATTGCGACAAGATGGTCTTCTTCTTCTTCTTCTTATCTGGAATATCGTCGAAAGTAACAGGCAGGACGTCTGAATGCGATCTTTGATGCATCTTTGGGGAACCTTGAATGACAACGATATCTTCAGGGTTATTATTTTCTAAGACTTCATTGTCTGAATTTTCTAGGCCTTCCATTCCTTGTAAATCGTTCTGTACAGCAGCAATTGCGTCGACAGCATTATAATCTGCAGACATAGGGCTTAGATCTTCCAACTGCGATTCCGATGCGGTATCCTCCGTTATGTATCCGTCAGTATCGATTATGCTATTACTTCCAGTTGTCAACGATCGTTCAGTGAATCGTCTTGGCCTCTCGTCTTTCTTCTTAACAGACATCTCCAAAATCTTCGCGTTCCAGGTGAACACGACTTCCGATATCAATCGTTTGAGAATCACTATCCCATCCTCGATCCTGAACATCAGTGCTTGAACTTGTTTCTCAGATACTTTCCCCTCCAGTTTTTTGTTTTCCAACGTTGGCGACGTCAGTTTCAACTGGATCTCTTCGATCTTATTCTTGAAGTACTGTTGATCCTTGCCCAACTGTTGTTTAACAGCGTTCAAAATATCCAGATCCGTTTGCAAGGTCGTCAGTTTTTCTCGTATGCAGGAGAAAACTTCGTCCCCCTTCAACGCTATACCTTTCATTTCTTCTATCACGTCTGCGTGCTGTTTCGGATCGTACATGACATTTATTACCGGCGGCGGTAGCGAGATCTCCCACTGCGATATTTTCGTGTACTTGAACACGGCCAGCATGTTCTTCTTGATGAAATACTGACAGTGATCGTGATGAAGCGAGTGTTGGCAAGTGTCTGTGCCCCGTCTAGTGTACGCGCTACCGTGAAAACGTAGCTCCAGATACTTTGCGAACGACAAGGACCAAGTGTCATCGGACATTGGTACTACCGGTGACACACCTTTACATTTCATACACTTGCTCCACATTAAGATTTGATTCGCACTGTCTTGAGAGAACGGATCAGTGCTCATTTCGTTCAGAGTAATGTGTATGCATCCGCCGTCGTGCACAAACCGCCGGACATGGTGAGCGATTTGTGCCCGACATGCCTGGGCAGGGCATTTGTACTCGTATGTCAAGCAATAACGCTCTAAGAAACGTCCGAGCGCGATGTCGTTTCTTCCATATAAATCCATGTTAACTACCCAAGGGTTCACGCAAAACGCTGGCGTATCATTATTGCCAGTGTGTGAGAAGCTACAGAACAACACAGACAAACGTTGATGACTAGCAGGATCCAAACAATCGGGCCACGCGGGAGGTTCGCTTACTTCTGACTGTATCAGAATTTGTTTCTCCGATAGAACGTTATTCGTTGGATATAGTCGGCTGCCGCACGCTCTAAAATTAGCTAATAAGGCCTGTACCTCTCGGCTGTCTACGTCCGTCGTTAATCTCGCTTGAACAAACGGATGCTGCGGTTTCAATTTCAACTTCATTAGAGAGCTTTCGGTTGCCGACTGTTCCGCAGATACGTTAACCGTTTTGATCTCTTTCACTTTGTCCTCAAACTGCGCGGAGTAAAAGATCTCTCTTGGGAAGAAACTTCGCAGTATGCAATTCCTTCCTGTTTCAGTCTCCAAGTAAGGTATAGAAAATTTTAGATAAGGCGAGACGCTTAATACGGTGCCCTCTAATGCTTTCTTAAATTTATTTAGCAGTGGTAAATCGGCAACGCTCAAGTGTTGACCATTTGGACTAGTTTGATTAAAGACATCTTCCTCGTCTTCGTTCAAATACTGATGGAGAGGATCACTACGATCGCTAATGGATTCACCATAAATACGTTTCTCTTCTGAGACGATCTTTTCTTTTATTTTTGATTTTTCAACCTCTTCTTTAACATTCTTATTTGACTTTACCGTGGTTTTACCACCAAATAATTCTATTGTACTATTTGGATCTTCTTTGCCATCCATGTCAAGATTGGAATTACTATTTAAATCACTGTTTATCTTGCTTGTTAGACAATTGCCAGCAGCTGTTTCATCAATTACAGAGGACTTTGTTTTAGGTTTGAATAATTTTAAAGTATCGTATGGATCACTATCTTCAGATAATATAGAAGATATTTGCTTGACAGATCCTGAAGGTAACATATTCTCAGTCTGATATGAAACTATGTCTTGCATTGATGTGTTTTCATTCACTGAAAGTTCTATTTCTAGCCGTTGTTTATCGCTTGATACACTTCCGGAATCTTCCTGAATTTCTGATATTTTTAAAATTTCTGGACTATCTGCATATTCTTTGCTACGACTTAATAACAAATCATTTCCTTCACTAGCTTTATTATGTAATATTTTATTCGTTTCTGGAAAGTCTTTGAAATCTTTGTACGTATCATCCAAAAATGGATTATCTTTAGAGGACGGTGGTCTTGCAAATTCATCCATAAGAAAGGACTTTTCGAGACGCCAAGAATAAGCGGCAAAGATCATCGTTGAAGTTACATTCTTTACTTTTTTCAATTCTGTTTGCGAACCACCTCGTAACAAAATCGTAGCACCTAAATGTGGATTTGCACATCCCTCAAAGTACATTAGTGTTTTAATACCATCTAAGAAAAAAGGAATAAAATATTAAGTTTCACTTTGCCTTTAAAAATTTTCAGAAGTTGTAATGTAACTTCGTTACTCACTTTTCTCACTTAAAAAGTTTCGTAGATAGAATTTTTTACATGTACCAAGCATGTACCTTGCACTTATGTGTGCATCAATAGTATTCACGATGTTAGCACCTGTGCACCGTGCAATCCTTTCAAGAACACTAAGTTTCACATTCAAAACAAGAGTTACTCCGCATTCTCTGAGTCTGTCTTGTGCCAATCTGGAAACAGAACGATGCACTAATACAACATCTGGTCCAAGTGCGGTGATTCTAGCAACTGTATGACCCAGATATTCATTTTCCTATAAAATAGAATAGCTTTATGACATGTTTATGGTGCAAAAATTAATTATCAAATCTCTTTTCATACCTGTAACATCACAGGTTCTAAACTTAATAATTTTCCTTCTACGCGTTGATACATCAATCCACACTGAAGTAACAAAATTTTTGGATGAGCTATCATTGCATTCATTCCTCTATGTGCAACGTTTTTCGTACAAACTACACCAGAGACGATTTCACAATCGTCTCTACTTCCGCCCGGGCATTTTTTTATTTGTACGTATTGTCGAATATCCAAATCGTCGACATTATGATTTAAATCTGGCCTAACAAAATCAATAATTTGATGGGCAATAGGTAGTATTACTTCCAACCAACTTTGCGACAAACCTTCTTTATTAAGAAGCTGCTTAATCAGTGAATCTTCGTGTTGTTTGTATGCAGATCTGTTTAATTAAATATATTTAAATACAAGCATTGTTATTGTTATTACAAACACTCATACCTGTTTGATACTCACATTAGACATTCATACGCGTGTAATTCTCCAAACATGGTTCGAAGATTTGTCGGTTTGTGCCAACCAATTTTTTCTTTAAATTCCTGAACCTGTAGCGTATCGTTCAAAAGATCATCGGCAATTTTAAAATTACATTTATGCGATTTCACTGTGACTTCTTTTTGTTCAATTACGCCGTCGCTACTATCTACAGAAATTGTAGTCAAGTCTTCTGATGTAGGTCTCTTTAACGTAACAGTAGATGCTTCTAAGTTTAAATCTAAGTAAAAACTTGAACTAGAAGATGGCAAACGTCCAGTCATTTGTTGCGTTGAATTTGAAGGTTTCGTTTCACTTTCTGAATCTAAATTACACATATTTGGTCATTTAACTTAATTTAATTTAAATCAGTAATTTTACACATGTGAAGTAGTTCATTTAAATAAACTGTCTGTTACCAGTTGTCGAATCATGTTGTGGAATAGTTTTCACCCATGCCGGTTCTTGAGCATCACAGGTGTTTTGAGTTTCAGTTAACAAATCTATGCTTTGCATATTCAATAATTTCACTGGCTTAAATATCGTTGCTGTATCACTAAATACATTGTCAGCAATGACTGGTTCTATGAAACCAGCTTCCAGCAATGCTTCTCCTATGGCAGTAGCTTGCACTCTATAAAATATTATATTTCAGTCATTGTTGTTTTTTTTAAATGTATTTTCTCTTAAAGTCTTCATTTTACCGAGTAGCTGCCTTATTTTGTGCTATCATCCAGTTTACTAACTCATTAGCCAGAAAGCAATTGTGGTAACTCTTTAGTCTAACTCTGTGTGTTTGTAAGACAATTGCTTGGCTAGATCTAAACAATTCTTCATAGATCATTCTCAAAGAAGCTGAATTTTGTAAGACAATAGAACGTTCCTGTGATGTTAAATAACTAGTTGTTGGTCTGAAAATCATATTTTCACAAATCCTTTAGATTATATCGAACTATATAACGTTTAAGTAGCCAATAAGATATACCTTCCAATAGCATATTTTTCTTCCATGTATCCTACACTTGGTTTCCTGCAGATTGAAGTTTCATCTTCTGCTGATTTATGTGAACATTTTTGAGTTGCAGGTGGCGAATCATTTCCATACTTAACCTGAAGATCTTCTTGCAAAGCTTTTAAGTCCGCGGACAGATCACTTCTCATGTCCGACGATTGTAAGTAAGATAGAACTACTTTGCAACAATAAGTACAAACTCTAAGATCACCTGTTACAAAATGCTTATTACTCAAACACGAATAAATAATAAAGAGCAAGCATTGATCATTTATGTACCAGTGCATCCCATAATTTTCCCAGGAATTTGATCAGAGCAACATTTCGAACAAAATATTTGGCCGCAAACGCGGCAATGATGTCTCCTACGAAATGTTGTAAATCGTTCACCACATTCATAACACTGTTTGCTCACGCTATCTGGCATCCAATAGCTTCTTAACTGAGAATCTTTGTACGAACGTAAGTTCTAAATTAAATTAACAATACATTAAATATATTAGTCAAGTAATTTGTACCACTTAACGTACTTAACATTAGTTACGTTACAACAACTTACGTTGCTTTTCAAAGCAACAATGTTACTAATACGTTTTAGCACATTTGGTAAACTTCTACCTTCGCGAGTATCTAATGGAAAATTCATCATACTAGAACCGTCATCTTCAGGTGATTTCTCAGTACTTTCTGACTGTTTCCAAGATTCAGAATCAGACGAGCTCTGTTCCTCGTTAGTAATAGGAGAGATCGTAGAATCATCAACATTCTGTGAACCTAGAAATTGAACATACATTATACACATATTGATTGTTTATCATTTTATTACATTATTCATTATTTATCTAATGTTTGTTGATGTTAAAGTAATAAATAAATTAAATTGCTCCAAGTAAATTAAAAAAATACTAAAAAGGCTGAAATGTTAAAATATAATAAACAAATTATCTTACTTTTAGCGAAGTTAAAAAATTTGGAAAACAGGGAAGCTACAACAGGTTGACTTTCTTCGGGACTCAACGGAGCGAACTCCGTAAGTTTCGACGGTGAATTCATATTTTTGTTCATTTTGTTCAGTGCTATCTCCTCACAGACATTTTCGAGATGAACTATTCATAACATACTGTTTTCCACCTGCGCCGACCACTGTATACAAATACTTCTTGACAGGAATATCAGATGTTACGTGCCATAACGTAATGTATTTATCCTTCCTACAGATGGCACTGTATTTACATAATATGTAGAAGTTAATGTTGGTGAAACTGAATGGATTTTTATTTATATTGCTGTTCTTATCCCACGCCATTGCCCCCCTTGTCTACTGCGCGAAAACGTTTGTCCTTGTCATACGTTACTACTCTCCTTGTCTATCGCACCAACATATTTATCCTTAACGCATGCTGTTGTCTTCATGTCCGAAAATTTCTGTCCTTGTCTACCACTGTTGTCCTCCTTGTCTTACGCGTGAATATGTCCTTGTCGCACGCTGTCAACTTCCTTGTCTAATGCGCCCATTTGTCTGTCCTTGTCGCACGGAACTGCTCTCCTTGTCTACCGTGTATATATGTCGGTCCTTGTCGCACGCAGTAGCCCTCCTTGTCTAATGACGATAGACAAGGAAAACAATAGTGTGCGACAAGGACATCCTTCGATCTATTGAAAAAAAAAATTCAACTTTTTACACACACGGTTTTCTAGGACAAAACATATATACAAAGAAAGCGGAGAGCTTAATTTTAAGGATGCATATAAAAAAGTTTGCACATTATTCTTCTTAATTAGGTTTTTTTCATAATTAAAGCGAATTGTCACAAAATGGGCATGGTGGCGCCATCTAGCGGTAAGTCAGTGGTACTAATTATTTCTAAAAATACTTATTTCTGCATTTTACGGGTCAAATGTGGTATGAAAAGAAAGCTAAGGGTCTAATTAGGGTAATATAGTCACCAAAATTCACAATTCATTTCGCTAAATTAGGTTTTTTCGCAAATGAAAATTTCTCTGTTTTACGGGGTAAGAAACACTAGCGTCGCGTTGTGGCAAACCAGTGGAACTAAATGCTCTTTAACCATATAAGGAGAATAATTAATTTTAATTTTTCACGCCACAAATTTGCAGTCCACGAGCATATATTTTAGAGATAATGCTATCAGTTACGTTCACAAATGAATTTGAATCCAATATTCACTATAGTTTGCAAGAAATTACGCACTCACTACTGACACTACTACGAACGTAAACGAAATTGAAACATTCTTTATATACGTAAATTATACTTAAACAAAACGCAAGGGTCTCTAAAATCGAAGACGCAACCATAACAGTTAGGCAATGATTCCTCATAATTAATTTCTTCTCGTAATTTGTGGAAAAACAGTTTAAACGTAACAGTGGCGCCATCTATTGCTAACTTGGTGGTACTAAAAACAGAATTTTCTACTTTTAGTACCACCGCGTAATCAATAGATGGCGCCACCATCGTTTCTAATGTAGCGACCTATAGTTCCTCGAGTACGAGTTTCGAACACCAACTTGCACAAGCCGCAAGTGGCTGTGCGCCTAGCGTTGAAGTCAACCGATATTCGATGTTAAGCAAACAGAGTGCGGAACCGCTAGGATGGGTGGAGGACCCATCCAGCCTAGCGAATAGTTACAACAAGCGTGTCTGGGGTGTAAGGAGTCGCTGCCATCAGCCCCACTGATGAGTCTAGGCAGAGCCGACTCTGAGACGAAACGCGCACAACCTTTCCTACCCGAAAAGGTTAGAAGCAATAATAAATTTCCCAAAGCCGAAGACCATAATCGAATTATAAAGCGTTTCCTTGGCATGGTAAATTTCCATCGGCGTTTCATAAGAAATGCCGCTGCTACACAAGCTCCATTGACAGAATTATTAAAAGGAACAAAAAAGAAGGACAAAAGACCCATCAACTGGACGGAACAGACAGACTACGCATTTAAATTATGCAAAGACTCGTTGGCGGATGCGGCACTACTACTGGCCCATCCAAAATTAAATAACCAACTACAATTGATAACTGACGCATCTGACTTAGCTTGTGGGGCTGTACTCCAACAAGAAGTGAACGGTTTGTGGGAACCCATAGCGTTTTT